CACCCGCCCTGCGCTCCAGCCAGGGAGCCGGGGCTTGCCCCACTCCACCCACCCAGCACTCCTGCAAGCCCCCGCACCCTGGCAGGAGCCCGGGGGGACTGCAAGCGGAAGAGGTGGGGAGGGGCCCCAACTTCCTCTGGCCCAGGGGCCCCACAAAACCCTAATCCACCCCTGACTAAGGGGCAATATTTTAGAGGTCTACAAAATCATGAATGGGTGGAGAAAGTGACTAAGGAAGTGTTATTCACCCTTCACATGAGAACCAGGGGTCACCCAAAGAAATTAATAGGCAGCAGGTTTAAAACAAACAAGGAAGTACTTTGTCACACAACGCACAGTCAGCCTGTAGAACTCATTGCCAGGGGATGTTGTGAAGGCCAAAAATATAAGTGGGTTCAAAAAAGATAAGTTCATGGAGGATGGGTTCATCAATGGCTATTAGCCAATATGGTCAGGGATTCGACCTCATGTTCCGGTATGTCCCCAAGCCTCTGACTACCAGAAGCTGGTACTGGACGACAGAGGCCGGATCACTTGATAAATTCTCCTGTTCTGTTCATTCCCTCTAAAGTATCTGGCACTGGCCACTGTCGTACGACAGCATTCTGGGCTAGATGGACCATTGGTCTGACTCAGTATGGCCCTTTATACGTTAAGTCAAGAATAGGACCTCGGTAGAATTTAGATGGTACTGTATATGGATCTGATCCTGTCCTCACTGAGATCAATGGCAAATCTCCCTTTGTCAACAACAGGTGCAGGAGCAGATCTTAAAATGTAAGTGAGGTACATTTTAAATTAGATCACATTAACATTAGCTGATTGTACGTCTGGAAATATATTACATGCAAGACTAACTTCCCAGTAAGAAACTGCAGTGGTACCTCCAAAATATGGTGGAGCAGAGTAATAGGAGTTTGGTTTGCTTTGGTTTCAGTTAGTTTGAGCAAAGTGTTAATTTTAAAACCACCAGCATCTCCAGTGTGACGCCCCTAAAAGATAGATAAAATCAAATAAAATCCTTGTTTCAGCTTAAAAAAAGCTCCATGATTCAATTTTTGTTATTTTTATTTTATACATACGCAGAAGACTGGATTGCAATTATATTTTGCCATCTATCAAAATGTAATTATTTTTAAAAGCCTTACTTACATAGTTCAGAAAGTTTCCAACTTTAAGAATCAACAGACAGAAAATGGGCAGCCGGTGACTGGTAAGAAGTGCTAAAAAAATTAAAATGGATGGTTTAAATAAATTCAATGAAGGACTTTGAAATTGGATTTTCCTGAAGTTTAAACAGGGCTTGCACAAAGGTCTTTTCTCAGATTATGCAGGGCCAGTATTTTTATGGCTTTGGAAACATGCCAGACATAGAATTCGTTTGTGCATGTAAAAAGAAACAGGAATAAATAAGTTGAATAAAAGTGTCCCAAGTAGGCTTGGGCTGTATAGTTGCGTGGAAAGTTGATCTTCCCTTTACGTTTAGAATATGTCGGTGTATAAATTAATCAATAGGAGGAAGAACTGCTTGAACAATTTCTGAAGTGCATCAAGCCAAAAGGGTCAACATCAGGTGTTTTTCTGTGCATGTTCCCAATGGTTAAAAAAAAGTGATGGTTTTTGCACACACAAAAAATGAGCCGACATTAAAACAAAGAACAAATCGTCTATATGTAGAATTTGGGACCTTCCCCCTCACTAGTGGAGATCTTTGGTAGGAGTTAGTCAGCACACCTATATTTTACTCACAATCTGCTAGAAGCATTCCCCCATTCTGTGTGTTCCATCTCACAGCTGAACTGTACAAATTGCAGTTCTGCATTATTCCAGAAATGGGAATCTGTGGCTAGTGCTCCCACAGAGCTTCCTGTTCGATAATAAGAGACTCACTCGGCCTAGGTGTCATTCCATTTCAACTAATGGTGAGTTTTCACTTGGCTCTTAGCACAAAGCACTGATACAATTGCATCCCACTTACTTTCACAGGCTCTCCTGATCATTTGTGCTTCAGGCCATAGCAAATCTAACAGACTGCTTGTCTCTTCACATAACAGCATACATTCAATTCGCAACTGGTAGCTAAAAGAGAAAGTCAATGCAAGAAATACAGACGTGCTTAGCTGAAGCACGTCTAGCATGACAGCAACACATTGCTGAACTAAGACCAGCGCAAGTGTTATCTTGTTCTCTTAATGCCACCACGTGAGATATTTCCCTCATTGGATTAGATTACAAATAAATCAAACAAATAAATCAAATGTTTTAGACATTTAGACAAGTGTCCTATAAACAATTATCATGCTCCCTCCCACCAGAACACCCACAAAGGCAACATCATATTGCAACCTATGCAAGAAAAACACATCATAGCAGTTATGGTAATAAAATAATAACGCTTAGCACTTCCCATCAGTAG